CGAAACGTCAACTTTCCTGCTCCTCTGTTGCTGCCTGGCCTGCTGTGCTCCTCCAGCTCCACACCGTTATCTCTGACTGCAGCAGCGGCAGTTCTTACTATCGCGGACTATAACCGGTGTTGCGGGACGTCTGACAATTGTTTAAGCATGCAAATGTTCATAGATTAAATTCTTCATCTTTAAAGACGTCAGCTGGATGTCAGACACTTTCCAACAGGGAAAAAAAGCATAGAGAAAGTCAAGCTATAATATTACTGTGGACTGTTGTGCACTAGCACAATTGATCATTGGAATATCTACAAATTAGAAGCAAGGCTAACCAAAAACATTGACTTTAAGGTCAGTCATCAGGAATGCTTAATGCTTGTTCAGTAACAAATGAAATGAAAGATCTTTACACAAGGCAAGATTAACTATGGAGTAAATGTTATGCAGATTTAATGAAATTCTTTCCACATCATATGCATCAGGACAGGGAGTTACTTGTGTCTAAAAGTAAATATATTTCCCACATCCTATTTCTAAACTTGAAAACAGAACATGTATAACATATATAACAAGATATATAATATATAACAATATAACAATAAATCAAAAAAAATAAACAAAATAGTAGAGATATTTTACTATTTAGAATGTAAAAAGCAATAGGCCTTTATGCCCATTAATTCCATTTCCTTGTGACAGTTTTCAATTCAATCTGCATCCTTGCACACCTTAAAGGAATTAAGGGTTATGGTGAGCAGGCAGGTAAGTATAGCTGAGTCCACAAAATAGATTAGCCATGATCTTATTAAATGGTGGAACAGGCTCAAACAGGTCAGATGGTGTACTCCTGCTCCTATATCTAATGTTCTTATATCCAACAAGTCTTTGTCCATTACTTCTCCAGCACACTTGGGCAATTTCCTGCAACAGCATTCATTAACCCACATACCAAATATCTACTGCTTTCACTGCATTTTAAAAGTCAATCTGATTCACCTTCAAAATAAAACCAGTTGGGTGTAAGAAGTTCACTTACCCTGGCATTTGAATACTTCCCCACAGCACACAAGTGTGCCTTACTTGAGGCCCCATTCAATTCCTTCTTTCATTTCCAGTAATGATACAACTTTGTTATCCCAAATGGATGAAACAAATGACATTCAGACTTAATTAAAAGAACTTTACCAGAAAGTGGAAGCATACCTTCCTTACTCCTCTCACCTTGAGATGCTTTCCTAAAATTCCTAGACACCAACAATTAGAGTTACTACTAGAAGTCTCAGCATAAGGCGATATCACAAATGCCCTTGATCAGGGACCATGACAATAGATCACAAGAGTTTAATGAGTCATGCACAACTCTTTACAGATTTCACACAAATATCAATATTAGGTAGTAACTGGCTTTTAAATAGCACTGCAGCCCCTAAAACAAATGTTGAAAAAAGCTCTGCCAAATTGATTGCATCCTGTTTTCAGAACAGATCTAGAGTTGTCAACAAAATATTAATTCTTATGAGAACACCAACAGCAGCTATTCAGTCTTCTTTTCTAAACTCCAGAGTCAGAGTCATACAGCATGAAAACATACCCTTCGACGCAACTCATCCAAGCTAACCAGGTTTTCCAAACTAAACTAGCTCCATTTGCCTGCATTTGGCCCTGATCCCTCTAAGTCTTTCCTATTCATGTACCTATCCAAATGTTGTAATTGCACTCGTCTCTGCTAGCATCTCTGGCAGCTGGTTCCATATATGCACTGTACTTTGTGTGAAAAAGTTGCCTTGAGTCCCTTTCTTTCTTTTCCCTCCCTCCTCTTAATCCAATTTCTTTTCTCTCAACTTTCCTCTTCGTGATGTCCTGAACTCTGGGCCTCAGCACAGACTCAGACTCTTGGCCTCAATGTGAACCCCGTGTGGTGATCTCCTGGCCAGGCGTAGCCATCTCCTGGTGACAATTAGCCTTTCGGCAGCCTGGGGTGGTCTTTTGGCCTGGCGGGGCTTCAGCATAGACCTCTGGCCTCAAGGTGATTTCAGAGTGGTCTCCCAGCCTCGAGATGAAGTTTGACATAGTCTGGAGTCAAGGCCCGGTGTAGATGGGACGCTAGATACCAGCATGGACTGGATGGAAGAACTGTTATTCTGAACTTTTTATTTCTCTATTTTCTAATTTATTCCTATGATCTGTAATGTCAGGTATTTTATTGCTTTATTCAAACCTTTCTTTTCCTCTCATCTTAAACCCATGCCCACTGGTTTTGGACTGCCCTACTCAGAGGAAAAGATCTTGGCTACTCACTTTATCAATGTCCCTCATGATTTTATAAACCTCTATTAAAGGTTATACCTCAGCCTCCTATGCTCCAGGGAAAAAATTCCCAGCCTATCCAGTTTCTTATAACTCAAACCCTCCAGTCTCAGCAACATCCTTGTAAACCTTTATTGCAACCTTTCCAGTTTAGTAACATGCTTCCTATAGATGGATGACCAGACGTGAACACAGTACCCCAAATGCGGCCTTACCAATGTCTTGTACAGCCATAACATGACACCCCAACATCTGTACTCAATGCTCTGAGGGATGAAGGCAAGTATGCCAATCGTCATCTTCACCGCCACTTGAAAGTGTGATACCACTTTCAAACAACTACATAACTGCACTCCTAAAGTCTGTTTAACAACACTCCCCAGGGCCCTACCATTAAATGGTTCAAGTCCAGCCTTGGTTTGTCTTACCAAAACACACACCTAGCATTTATCTAAATTAAATTCCGTCTGCCATTCCTCATCCACTAGCCCAGTTGATCAAGATCTCATTGTACTCTTGGATAACCTTATTCATTGTCCACTATACCACCTATTTTGGTGTCATCTGCAAACTTACTAACCATGCCTCCTATATTCTCATCCAAATTGTTTATTTAAATGATGAACGACAGTGGACACAGCACCAATCCTTGTGGCACACTGCTGGTCACAGGCCTCTCTGTTATGATTTAAAAATCAAACTCAGCAGTACATGAATATTAAGCCTAAAAACTCTTTCTTCCCTACTCTAAATTATTTACTTGTTTCAGAAAAAAATAGTTTAAGGTAGGGAGGAGGTGATTTAAGAGGAGATTTGAGGAATTTTCTTTAAAAACCCAGAGTGGCATGTGGAATTGTCTATCTAAAAGTATGGTAAAGATAAGAATCCTCAAAATATTTGGGAAGTATTTACGTGAGCGCTTGAAATGCTACAGTATACAAGCAAGAGAAAACTAGGACATCTAAAATCTTTATGCTCCTTTCTCGACATGGATATTAACAATGAATGTGATGTGCAACTATGTCCTTCAACATACCTCCTTTATCAGGCATCAGTGATTCACTGAAGGAAATTGGTTTTCATCTCAACGTTTTCTAGAGTCCAAATGTAAACTCACCTGCCAAAGCACACTTCAATGCCTGACTTGGTAATTCCAACAATTCTTCTTGGGCTGGACGGAGCTGGCTTAAATGGAGTTTCTCAATATTACCAAAATCTATGTATCCCACC